AATCTTGAAAAGGCGCAACGGTCATTTACCAAACGGTTACTAGGTGATTTTCTTCTCATCAACAGGTGTGTTAGCTGTTTAAAAAGAACCGAATGATTGAGAAGAATTAATATTAACCTTATCTTCCTGTCTGGTTTAGCTCACAGCTGTTCTGGGGAAATAGACACTGCCCAGTTTAGAACTTTCCGTCAATATCCAAATGAAATGCATTATCTAGCTTTTGCGTCCCTAGATGGTGTGCAATGTTGTACTTCAACTTCTTTTTCATAACTTGTACAACCTTATGGAATAACCTGACAAAAATCATGTATGCAACAATACTATGCATATATTTCGTGCTCCAGCTTTTAAAAACTTCACCGTAGAGGAGGTATTACGTATAATTTGCGAAACAACCTCAAAGGACCATATTTATGCTGAAGGCCCCATAGCAATTCAAATGTTGATCCTCCCACCTACTGCACGATAAGCTCTGCTCAGCTTAGACATAACCTCGTAAATTTACCTTGTTACCTTCCTTATCATTTTTCCTTTGTATTTATTCTATGTTTACCACTGTATTTACCACAGTTATCCTACCAATTCGTCTAACATTAGAAGGCCTCGGTTCAATTAGTTCCATTGGCATTCCTAACCAACGTACATTAAATAATGCTCATATGCTTTCCATCATTATCTTGGCTAACTTATAAAATATTCAGCTCATCTAGTTGGTTCAGTATCCTCTGAAGAAAACACAAATTTACCCAGGCTTTTGTCACTTCACTTCACCTAATCTTCGTCCTCATAATATCTTAAAATTTATCAGACAAACGCTCACCGCATGCTAATGAAAACTTTGACATATTGGTGGAATGGGAAGTCAGGTAATGTTTCGGACCTTATTGTAAACTTGCTGTCTAATATTTGATATGCAATTAACCTGGTCTGTATGTTAACCGTGTGTTAGAGTGGCCACTGTAATCTCGGATAACCGGACTTCCAGGATTTGCTACCAGCACTTCACCTTAATTTGCTTTTCCTTACGAAATTCTCTTACACCTGGCTCCATTCCCTAACATGCGCCAGTTAAACCTAAGGCGTAGTATTTGGTGAACTGCAAATCACTATTTTTCAAAAACCTGATCTTTCTCGCCTCTACAACTTCGTAAATATTCCCTGAAGTAATAAAAATTAACGTCCTTCGATAGAACACACAGAGTTGATGGCTGATGTAGCACACAAGCCTTACTGTACGCCCGAATAATACGGGGAATAGCGGCTATCATGCTTTCCACAACAGTTCATGATTGCATATATAACAGTACCTTGCAATCATGAGCAGAAATAAGGGTAACGTTTTGCATACCGCAGTGGCCAAATACTTATGGAATATTAACCATGTATCCTATGAAGCCAGGCTCGATGATCCGTAGCCATCCGTAACCAACATGTTTTCTTTGTATTTGCTTGCTATTTGAAGATCTAAAACAATAAGCTATTGTGTGCTACCTCTAGAAATGTTTCTCTTCGGAAGACACCAGCAATCTGGCCATGACATTGATTTCTTCAGCATGTTTTCAACCATTCCTGAAGTGTGATCATGTAAATTTTAAAACTCTATTGCTTCATAGGCACACTTCGCTGCAAGTTGTACGTATTGTTACTGTTGTACTATACCACACTTTTTAAACATCTTTTGTTAATTTATAAAGTATCATTAGCTAAATTCGGTTTTACTATGATATCTGCGTCGCACGGATGAGTTGACATTAGCCAAATAACGCCTTTTTCGCTCTCATTGCACCTACCGTCAGAGTCGGTTGCTATTAGCTGCATTCAATCATTGGAATAAAGAGAAAATGAGGAAAAATTCTTTTTCAGCTTCATCGAATCCCGTTCGTCACAGGGGTCATGGTAGACATTGCAAGTAAATACCAATGGAATCGCTGCGTTGACACAAAAAGCAAAATGATCCGAGTTTGCAGAGCAAGTTAGAATACAAACGTTGGGTGAAACATTCTTCTGATTGCTCAACAACGGCATACACATGCAGATTGTTCCACTTGTTCAATACTCAGGTAGACAGCGTGAGATCATAACGGAACTGTAGTCCTTTTATTTAAACAACTTCCATTGTTGATTCCCAGGCCAACAGGAGGAATGCAATGGAAAGAAATCCTGCGGTTCAGCTCCAAGTTCACCTCTAACGATACGTCGTGTGTTTCATTGGTTCATTGGTTTGTGGGAAGCGGAAAGAAAATGCTTTGTCAGCCCCATCACTTCTTACTCATTGTAGGGATCATGGGAGTTGCTGAGACAGTTTTTCAACAGGGAACATTGCGGTCACAATTAACACAGCAAAATCCATGCTTGTATAGCAAATATTTGTATAGTAATCATTTGAAATATTCCGCTCTTTGCACAAGGAAGACCAGCTTAGGTACACTTTTTAACTCATTCGATGCACGAGTTGAAAAAGTGAAATCAGAGCGAACCCGACGCCTTGTTGGTGCAAATAGTTTCATACTGTGATCTCCCGTCAAACTATCCGCGCAAAGATGAAAGCACGCTTGTATGTCATCCCTCATTTCACCTCGGATAATAGATCGCGCGTACGTCAAGTCGCGACGGCGAAGACGATACTTAAGGGAGAACAACGTCACCCTCTGAAGGCGATGAGAGTTGTGCAGTATCCGGAATGTCACGACAAATTGCAATATCCATCACTGAAGCTTCTCTCTCAGTACCCATTCGGCTTTAGTGAGAGGGTAGGATGCTCGCCATCGGTTCTTAAGAATTGGTCAAAAGTGAGAACTGAAAAGATGTCGGATTATTTCTGGATTCATCTTGGAAATGTATCTCCTTGTAGAGCAGAATCTCCAGTTAGTATCGCAAGTTTCTTTAGTGTGTCTAGGGTCGCGCGTAGGTTTGCGAGACATTAACTCCAAGATCCTTCTCCAGGGTTGCATCATGCGCAGGAAGCCCGCAATAATATAAATACCAAAGAGGTCCGAGGTGCCAATTTGAAGCATGGAAGGTTTATCATGGTTAATGTGTAACTGCCACCCCATTGACAAGAACCTCAACCGGTCCAGCGTTGTCTGTAGCAGATCAACATCATCAATATTGATTAACCCTAGCCACATTTTGAGATCATCAGCATATATCAGGCAATCGGTTTGAACTCAGATGGAAGACCACTGATGTACTATTTGCATAGCTCAGGTCCAAGGACACAGCACTGTGGGACCACGCTAATCAAATTTTCGATTGAATTTGGTAACTTTCAGTTTAACTTGCATGCCTCGGCTATCCAGAAAGTCAGCGAACCAGGAGAGAATCTTCCTTGGAACGCCAAATCCTTGGCGTTTAAGAGGTCTACCATGTGGGACTTTTTCATTCGCTCTGCTGAAGTCGACGAAACGACATTGCACGTTTCATTCGGAATATCTTTCACACAGGTTAACGCTGTCGGCATGATCCCTCACTTTTAGCTTTTCTAACACAAATGTTAGGGAAACTAAAATTAAGCTTGCCCAACTGTATATTTTTTACGAGACGTTGTATATATTTTGAATTATTCTTTGCCGGACATTCACACCATATTCGTTTTTTGCTGGTAATAATTTTTGTCGTTACTCACATTCCTTAAAACCATCGTTACTTTCTTTCTTCCCTAACCTCATTATGGACTGGGACTCCTGAACAAATTTCAATCGATTGACATAGTTGGATTGCGCGGTAAGGAGAGATTGAAAATACTGACACGTCAACTAAATTCGCATTTCCGCCCTTTGGTCAGACTGCGCTAGTTCGGATCAAAATGTCGTCAGTTAAGGCAGGATGAAACCCCGGTACAAACTTCAACACCTCACACTGAAAAACGTACATGTGTGAAAATGTTATAAACATAGCATCATTCATATATTTCAACTCAATATGTGTAGAGATTTTTTGGAAAATAGTAAAATACAATTGTGCTTTTCTTATATGACAATATTCTCGTGCATCGTTAAATAACTAAATAAAAATAATATATACTAAATAAATAACACATAATTTATTTAACTATTGTTGATGACAGTTTGCTGCACCATACACAGAGTTTACAGCCATGTTGTTATAGCATTAATTGGCTAGGCCTTTTGGGTTTTCTTTTGAGTTATAGTAGCTAGGTTTAATTATCAAAGGACGTTTCAAACAGCAAAAGTCAATCGGCATATGCTATGGAAACACAGCACGCAAAACTGTTGAAATAAATATGAATGGGTGTTCTTCACACTGACGCAGACAGCTACCAAATAAAAGAAGTTATCCAGTGGGTCTCATCTTACGAAAAAGGGGCGATGTAGTAGTACTAATCAGTGCCCTTCCGGGTATAATCAGCCCCTTCATTATGGTTAATATTTGTTGACAAATGTCGAATTGACAGCTGTTGCACTCTACATTAGGTTACGGCAAACTCTGAGTAAAGCACAAACGGACCACTTGCAGACGGAAAAAAGCTTATGAGAATTTCATCTGCTTGATCCGTTTTGCAGGTTTGTTCGGATTCACACGCCATTTTCCATCAGTGTCTTTACTGATTTCTAAGTTGGAATGAATTGTTTTGTGAATAACCTGATTTCAGTATCTGAATCCCAAACAGACAGAATATTCTGATCGAGTGTGGTTTAGGGTGGTTTAACAAAACTTTTAGCTCAGTGATGAAGTCTATCGCACCAGCGTTTTAACGACCAACAAATCTGCTGGTCGACTTGATGCAGCTTTTTCAAGTCAAGCATATTCACACTGACATACTTTATGCACTATGGACTATAAGATATGCTATACTTATAGTTATTAACTTGGGAAATTCACAGTCTTTTTAGTACGCATCATTCCTAATACTGGGTAACCGGACTTCTAGATTTTTACGATAAACCCGTTAATTTTCTAGCGGCCGATAACAGAATGTATTGAGACTAGTGTCCATAACGTTTTACAATGTTACTTGGTGATCATAACAGTAAAACGGATCACAAGGCTGTGAGCAAAAAGCAGCCGCGTCTACATCGTAGTTGTGTGGTTCCAGTAAGCCCATCGTCAATAATACGGGGCATTGGCCTCTCCCTGGTTGTAACAGCGCTAGTTAGTGTGCATATGCAAGAAGTTCCAGTTCGCACGCAGCCATGCGTCATTGATGTAGCAGCGATCTGTAGAATGCGCAAGAACAAGTTAAGGCATAATCTTTGACAAACTGCAAATTCTCATGAAAACAAACAGATTCATGTGAGCAACACAGGCGAAAATTAGAGTACTTCTGATCATCAATGCGATGCGAACCAACGGTACACGCCATTGCAGACACAAAACTTTCAGGATAACATTTGTATATTTAAGGCATTGCTATGTTCTACACACGTTATTTAGCAAAACGAAATTTAATCAAACAGCACCGAACACACGCTAGTTTTTAATCTCCAAATGTTATTATTTGGCTTTACAACATAAACCTTATATTGGCCACCCAGAAAAATCAGTTTGCATCATTGTAGCTTATGGATGAATTAGCGCACACTGCGCCCAGCCTGACAGAATACCCCTAGAAGGTCTTTGTTTTCCCACTGAACATAATTGCTGGTAGGCGTAGGCTGGTTTTTCTAGATAAGGCATCTTATACCTCTAGGCACAGCTATATATCTAGACGATAGTTGCTGATGATACATGGTCACGACTAATAGGCAGACTACCTATAGCACAGCAAATCCCCTATGTTCTACAACTTGTGAATCTGCCTGAAAAAATTTCGGTGGATTTAATTGTTTTGGGTCCAAGGTAAATCAGTCCTACTTAGGAACTTTAACTAATTCATGCATGGTTGTGCTGTAAGTTCACATGTTTGGAAAAGCCAATGTGCTAAGGTGTGCATAGTTGGTGGTTATGTTTCTATATGTATATATATATATATATATATCCGGGTCGACTGATAAACATAGTATATGCATGTATATTATGGGCAAAACAATATTAATGCGTTCCTTGTTTACTAATCCTAAACGACCTATTGATGTACGTCAGAATAAAGGAAACAACGGAGGTAGGAGAATTCCGTTTCTGAAGTTCATTTTATTGTGTATCTCATTCTAACTCTCTTATTGTTTATACAATAGTTTATGGATACTTAAGTACGTATCTTATTGGCATCTACTCTTTATCATGGACACGATTTTGTGGCATCGGAAGTGCAACTCACAGGACTAGTAAAGTATTTATTGTCACAAATAGATCCACTGTGAAACATAATATATTAACCAGTTTCATTAATTCACTTTTATCTCCACAACATTCCATAATTGGGTACACCAATATATGTTTGCAGTGCTCATCTGTTCACCGTTTTAAGCAACACGAAAAATACCTTTGTACATTTAAAACAAACTGTTGATGTCGCCGTGTTGTCCCGGGACCGGCGCAGCCGTATCACAGGGAACACTTAGATTCAGCCAACAACCACATTTCTAACATTGTCACTGTTGTTCATCAAGTCTAACAAGAAACATAGAATTTGTAAACGTCCTTGTAGGCAATTTACAATTACTGCCTAAAAGTTGGGTATGGTTGTACATTATGGTAATCATTACACATTTACATTAAAAAGGTACCATTACGATCACTGCAAAACACATATTTACGTCTGTCAGTCATTGTGGATTGCTTAAGTTGCGTGATGAAGCGTGGAGGTTCATGAGAAATGAAAGTGTTCAAAAGGTGGTCAAGGTTGAATAATGAGTACGAGTGCCTGGGGTAATGTACTTTCCTTCAAATTCGAAACACTCGCAATACAGAATTTGCAAGAGACTCCTAGTTCTCAAAACGTGTGCACATATCCGATCTCTCATCAGTAGCCATCATCAAGTCGAAGCCATTGTTTCTATTAAAATCGGTTGTTCTATTTCCGTCATTCCTATAAAGGTGGCTACTATATAATTAAAATTTGGTAGCTCTGTGCTATTCGTTGCAGATTTCGCAGGATGAGCGGTACCTCTCGTTAAAGGCACTTACGTGTTATTGAATAAGACAAAGCCTCAGTGCAGTCTGTCAGGTGGAACAGAAAGTTGACTATACAATCAGTTACGCCTAATAACCTTGCATAAGATAGCTAGAAAAATGTAGTAGGCAACAAGCCGAGTCATCATTGGGGCCACCCTTTGACTTACCAAACAAATTGTAGTAAGCAAGATACTCATGATTGTAAACTTGCTATTTTCAGTGAGATTTCAATAGTGCCACCTAAACAACTGCACTTTATATTTGTCTGCGCCTTAGGCACATGTTTACGACACAACAAACCACGACCGCCAACCAACTGATAGGCGGCTACACTGTCAGAGATTGATCAGTAATGAGACTGTTTTGACAAGAAATGCCACAACCGGTGACACTAAGCAATACACAAACGCAATAGTGCTCTTTTGTTAAAGAAACTGAATGGACACATTGCGAATAAGTAAATTAAAAGTCTGAGTTATAAGACCGTTTGCGTGCGTGCCAAATTTCTTATTCCAAGTAAGATTTTAGCCAGTTCAAACGCGTTTGCTTCTAACGTCACTGTGGAGAAGCAAATCCAAAATTTGCGGCCAAAGTAATGTGCCTCGCATTCAATCATCTGAGGTCAAGTGAAGCCAAACTCTTAGGTCTGCTGGAAATCCATGCACTTCTGCTTATTTTGGATGTGTGCCTGTTATTATTTTGTCAGATGGAGGCAGCGAACGTTGGCTAGGCCACGCTTGATCCCCCGGAATGAATAGAGCAACTCATATGGAAAGAATTCTGAAAAATGACCTTGATCCCTGCAAACAGGTGATGCAATTATCTACTTTGCAGCTTGATATGTTGTAACTTAATCCTTTGTAATTTGGGCTCGATTATGATGTACTGCTAACAGATAACTCTTTTATTCATCTCAGCTTATTTTGAGAAGATCATAATCAGTTTAAAAGCTTTGACTTACTATCACTAAGCCATATACATTGCGGGAATTTGACTGATAGCGCATGAGGTCAAAATAGCAGTATTTGATAACATAGCCTCTAAGTGAACCGCTTGCTGATGATGTCGTTTTATTGTAACTGAGTAGGAGTTTCGAAGTGGCAACTAGGAACATGTCATATTACACGCAAAAGTGTCATCAAGACCAACAGTATGCGTAAAATTAATTGTTTCATGAAGAAAGGCGAATTGCCTGTTGTCTCATCTATCGCGTGATGTGTGGTGTCACTGAAACCTGTTTAAACCCCAGCGGTTTCGTTATTATATTCCAGAGTAACACTTTATTTGATTGATGGATGTCTTTCGTTGGCTAGCCTTGTCATTTCTAGAAGAATCTTTACGCCACTAATTAAATTTTTATTATCCTCGAATAATTGGCTGCATTTTACGCGAGAATGTCAACGTATTCCTGAATATACCAAGAAAATATTGAGTAATATCAGGATTAGATGCTACCAATTTCTTCCCCTGTCCTCAGACATCGTATTCGCGATATCAACTGTGTTTTAGTAGCATTGTCTGCTAATCCATGCGCTCAGTCAGACCAGCTTAACTTTCATTGCGTGCAAAAGACGTTCTGAACTAGGCTGGCTCTCATCTCTTCATTGTCTTTAATTCGTTAGAGATCCGTATTGGATTTCACAGTGTTGCTTTATAAGATATAGCTGACAAACGTTTATTTGATAATACGCTTTATAACTATTGTAGGTTAAATATTATAGTTTGTGCAAATACTACGTGGATATATGTTGACAATATGAATGTAATATACAACTTTGACGTGTAGGATGGATAATATGCACGTTTAATTCCAAAAATCCATCACCCGGCATGTTTGTGACTTTTACTTGGCCAACAAGTAGACCTGATAGTTTAGGCATAAGTTATTACGTACCAAAAATTGATGTAGGCTGTTAAGCTTGGGGACTTCGAACACGCAAAATGAATGGGAACGTTTTTGAACTCAGTGGATAGTTAGGAAGTCTATCGGTTACAAATTGAAAGAACACTTGTTGCAGTTAGCATTATGTCTATAAATTTTAATTCGACTAAATTTTCTCTAGCCGGGACGTGGTATTTCACATGTCTTAAGAAGTCAAGGATGATAAATGAGAGAAGTATACTTAATGGGGATGTGCAAATTCTACTAACTGGGATTATTTAATTACTAGATACTACAATAAACTTATGTCCGGAGACATGAAAAGGATGCTTGTTATAATTATAGAAATATTATTTGATTTATATTTGATTTGGGTTTGTTCGTTCACAGTCTGAGTGAAGGACATTTTCACACATGAGTGCAACTTAGTTCCAAGTAACAATGAAAAAATACTCTAATTAGCATCTTTATGTGTATGCGATCTGAATGAAGACCACTACAATATATATTATAACCAAAGTGAAATTCCTGAGGAACCCAGATTAGTGGAAATCAAATCCACCAGCGCAAAATCGTCAGATTTTTGCATCTATAAAAGTGGATTGTAGTTGCTGAAAATTACCATATAAATAAAATAGAAAAGGCAGTCGGATTGCTAACTGCAGAACACTACAGTCGGCAAAGAAGGCAGAAGGCTTTTGACCGTTTAACTTGGTATATGAAATACGATCCGTAAAATGGTCACGCTGCACACCGGGGTGAAGTCAAATCCCGTAAAGCAGATAGGGCAAAATTGATCCATTCATAGCTACAAAGAAAGTGAACTAATAAAGGACAGAATATGAAAAAATTTACATTTATATCTAATGCAGCCATATAATGAACAAGTTAGACACCACATCCAATGTAGAGGGTTATGGTTCACCTACAAACTGGTTGATGTCGTCTGTTGAAATCCGTGGAATTCATAGTTTTCTAACCATGTTAGTTTATTAGATTAATAATAAACATGCTTCGGTCCAAAGGAAGATTAGCTCATTAGAATCTGACGGCCTTTTGTATATTCAATGCACAATGAAATCTAGGGCATTTAAATGCCAATGTTGACTGGTTTTAAGGCGCAGCATTTGCTCCCCTCAACTGCGCTTATTGATACGATCACCGCAATATGATTCGGTTGGATTGGTCGCCATTACAATGATGTGATTTTTAATGTCCTTGGTAATATTCCTCCTTACACCAAGCAGCTATTTCACACTGGACTGGAATTATTCTTCGTAACATGTCTATTCTTAGAAACACAATTCATGTCCTATGAATTTTGAATATCACTGTGTAATAAAAGTCATCATGTTCATAAACCGATGTTACCAAATGCATGCAAATACTAATTTAAAAGCTTTAAAGCAATGCCCCTTCAAACATTATTTTGCATAATGTTTTGACTCTTAGCTACGATATGACAATTAGCTGTTTACTGTTTCCACCCATAAAACAACCATTGCACTTTAATGCCCGAATATCATCTCTACATGAGGGTTGTTTGTAAATATACAACTCAAAAAATGCAATAGCATAGTAATTCCCGTCGAGTATCTAACCAGAGAATATGTTAGTAAGTTTCCGATAACTGCGGTTATTATTCAATTGAAGATAAGCTAAACCCTTTTACTAAATACAGAACTTAAGGATGCTGACCTTGAACTGTACATCGCATTACTTTTCCGGGCAGTATTTCTCAGCATCCTCTAAATAGATCAATAACCGGAGACAAACTACGGAGCCTAGTACTTCACTGTGTTTGGATGTGGGTCGCCTTTACCTAGCCCATAAAAGTAGGTATAGAACACCTAAGGAATACTTTGATCCATAGATTGCAAGCACGTCCTTGATGTTTACAGGAATCTCCAAACGGTTCAATAAACCATCATTAGTTCACAGTGTCCATATTTTAATCTCCATCACTCTGCGCATTTCCAAGAAACCGTAACATGTTTCTGTGATGCAAGAAAATGATTTTATGTTGTCTTAAATTATGCACGCGTAAGCGACACCGGTTAAAATTGGTACAGTTGATCAGAGTATATTAGAGGCGCTTGTTGGGGTGCTGAATATCACTAATAACACCTGTTTTCAAGCATATTCATGGGGTTAGTTTAGTTATTCCTTTACGATCCGCTCCCCGTATTGTCTTGGATCCCTTTTTATAACTCATTTCAAAACACAATAACATATGACGACGGCAGGAAAGAAGGTAGGTTGCAAATGGATTACAGAGAAAAATGGATAATGACAGAAAGCGCAAAACTAACATTGATTGAATAATAATTAGCAGTTTTATTCAAGTAAACGAATGCGTAGGTGCTATTGTTTACGCACCTGAGCTGTATAGATTAAGTTCTCCAACCAATGATGTAGACAATACATGTGCCCCAATCTTGGAAGACAGCAAGCACATACCTGAGCACGTCTGTCGTTCAGATGCTTCAGCCCCCCTCACCGACTAGCCTCCTTGCGCTTTTACCAGACACCGTACAAGTAGAGCCTAAAATGTACACGCCGAAGAAGTGGGTCGATGTGCTTACGGATGTCGTGGCCTCTTCAAAGAATATTATTATGATTAAAATAGTCTCACAAAGATGCCTTTTGTCAAGATTCCGAAAGAACGTAGTATTAATCATAATATTCAGAAACCTCTGCTTGCGGTCTACTTGCAGTTGTTGCCGGTGTAAAGTCATAGATTGTTATCAGTTACACGGAGGAGTTTGAAGATATCGGCCAAGTACTTCACAGGAGGACAATCACCTTCAATTTGAGGAACGGAGTACTTTGCCTGATTTATGGACAGTAACCGTAAAGTGTACAACTATCAAAGCTTATGAAAGACGTGTTCGCACCGCAGCATCTTTTGAATTATGCGAATAATCATTTTGGATTCGCAGAAACTTCGTCTGATAACCCTTTCACGAAATTGTGATGAGCATTATTTAGGGGTTGCGTACACCTATTTCTAGCCTTACTGTACCTCATAATAATCCGGGGATGCACTATTTTGCTAAGTCCGCCAAAATGAAGACCTCTTTATGAACAAATGACTGCCAGTGGAATCTATCCAGGGCTGCTGTGCTCGTGCCATCTTTCTTCTTGTGACTGAGATGAATGGACCAGATACCTCTGTGAGGTTGGACTTACATTTATCCCAGGCAAACTGGACGGTATTTTCTCCTGAGATCTCACAATTGAAACCCAAATCCTTGGTTGTTATTGACTGGTAGTCTGCGTGCCAAATGTTTAGGCGAGATTCAAAGGTACTCT